TGCCGCTGCCCCCGCGGCACACCATTGGCAGCGCTCTCCTCAACATCGCGAAGTTGTTCTTCGCTTCTTCCAGGCATTTGTTGCCTTGATTTTCGTACTCTGTTGTTGTGGTTGTTGTTGTCTTGCGCCGCAGCCGCACACCAACCACCGGCCAAAGGGAGAATGAGAGGGGGAGAAGAGAAATAAAATGTGCACAGAGATGCACGACCCCACGCAGCCACGCAGCAAGAGAGGGCCACCGCAGCCCACACGGTGCAGGGCACACACATCACACTTCAGCACCCAGCGCAATGGATGCAGGCACCCAAACCAACACACAAACACAAGCAGAGAAATTTCAAAAAGCAAACAAACCCCGTGAAGTGAAGCCGAAGCGTGGGGACGCGTCCACCGAGCAGTGGGGACGCGCAGCAACATGTGGGACGACCAGCACACACACACTCTCTGTTCCCGCACGGCCCAGTCCAGGAAGAGAGAGGAGGAGGAGGTCGCCCACTGAAGGCAATGGAAACAAACAAACAAACAAACAATAAAAAGGATAAAAACAGTTACGGTGCTGTACCCACGCAGCCAAGCAGGGCGGCAGCGGCTCGTCGGTTGCAAAAGAGGAAGAAGACCGACCGGCCTGCATGAGTGGAGTTGTGTGTATAGTTACGAGCACATTATGTGTCTGCCTCGTGGGGAGCGGCGAGGGCGAGAGAGTCCGTGCAGGGGGACACAGAAATAGAGGAAGAAGGGCGAGCTGTGTGTGCATGCACGGCCCTCTCTCTCCCTCTCACACAGTCGCTCACGCGGCCACCATCGCAGCGGCAGCCGCACACGCAAGCAGTAGAAGCAGCACAAAGGGGGAGGCGGAGTGCGAGGCCGCGGTGCTGTCGCCGTCACTGTCGCCAGGCGCCGCCTTAGTGGCATTCGTGGCGGTCGTAGCTGCCGGAGTCGCTGCGTCGTTTGTGCTGGTGGAGGCCTCTGCTGCCGGTGCTTTGTCCCTCGCACTGCCAGCGGCAGCTTCACGTTGTTGGCGCCCTCCTTCGTGCGTCGGCGCACCCTCAGAAGTTTGGGCGGCCTCGCGAGTCTTCTCAGTGGGCTCTTCGGCGTCGGTGCTGGCAATAACACCGCCACTCGGAGGAGAAGGCGACGGAGACTCTTGCGCCACACTGCCGTCGGCCGGCGCACTCCCTGCGGCAACTGCGGCCTCCCCCTGTGTTTGCAGAGTTCCGGTTGCGCTCGCGTTGCCTTTGGCTTCCGGCGGTGCTTTCGTTGCCCGTGGCGCCTCTGGGGCGGTTTGGGGCTCGCCTGCGGGTCGCGGTGGCGCACTCTCCGCCCTTGTCCCCTGCGGCTCCCTCACGGGCGCAGAATCGCCGGGCGTGGGAGAAACTCCAGCAACTCCACTCCCCTGCTTACTGTCAGTCGCAGTGGCGGTGTTCCGATTTGTGTTGTTGGCGGTGGCCTGCGCCGCTGCTTCCCCCGCACTGCCTTTCGGTGCACCAGCGACTTCGGGTTGCATGCTGCCTGTGCCAGCGCCGCCCCCACTGGTCTGTGCAGTCGGATCTCCAGCCGCGGGGACACCGACGGAGGGAGACGGAAGAGGCGTGGCCTCGGGAATTCCTCCTTCTTCTCCGACTGCTGGCGTTGTTGATGGGATTACCTCCTCCTCCTCTCCTGCGTCTTCCTCCTCCTCTTCTGGTTCTTCCTCGCCTTCTTGTCGATCATGCTGTTCTTCTTCCTTGGCCACTTGAACTTGACCTTCTTGGCTGTTTTCTTGACCTGGGCCTTTTCCCTCGACGTCGCCCTTTGCCTTCGTTGAAAGGCTGCCTGCGTCCACATCTCGACTGGTTTCCTCTGATTCTGCATCCGCTGTCGGCAGCACTGCCTTGTTGTCTGCTTGTGGCGCCGGCGCTGGCGGCAGTGCCGGCTCCTGCCCATCGTTCCCGCTGAGATCTGGGCTTTCCGGTGCCTTAGCGGTGTCTGCCTCTTCCGGCCCCTTCTCCGTCCCCGCGCCACTGCCCGGCAGCGTGTTGCCAGCACTCGGCTGATTATCTTCACTGCTTGGGTCTTTTGGCGTGTCACTTGTGACCCCGTCCTGCGATGCATCTCCCCCCTGCGCAACTTTGGCGGGAGCCTCGGCGAGGCACCCAGCGGCGACGCACAGCAGCAGCAGCAGCGCCAGTGGGAGGAGCGGCGTGGTGCGGCGTGGCCGGCGCATCTCTCGAACAAAGTGCACGTGGGGCCTCCCTTCGAGCGGCAGCCGCGGTGGTAGTGGTGGCGGCAGCACAGGCCCTCTCCGCGGGAGGAGGAAAAAGAGAGAAGGGGAAAAAAGAGGAGCAAACGGCAAAACAAAACAAAACAACCAAATGCAGTGTCAGCGGCACGAGGCACACGCTGCCGCGGGCGCACGCCGCTGCGGCGCAAACCCCGCGGTGGGCCTCCGCAACGGGGCCCCGAGAGCCGCGCACGACGGCACGCAGGGGGCCTGAGAAAAGGCGCGCCGCACGGCATCCCGCCCACCAGCGTCCGGCCCAACACGCAGCGTGCGCCCACCCCCGCGCCGTAGCCGCAACCAAAGCGGGAGGGAGGCAAAGAGCGCCACACGATGCCGCCGCACCGGCAAACAAACCGCACAGCAGCCCTACCGCCGCCCAACGGCACTTTGCCACTCCACACACCTCAGCTCCCGTCGACCCCAAAACACGCACCCACAAGAGAAGGGAAGGAGCATTGCGCAAAGCCGAGGCAAAATACAAGGGGAAGCTCGGAATGCGAGCGGGGTCCCTCGCACACGACCACCGCCGAGCGTTTTTTGGAAAGATTTAAAAACAAAAACAAAAATGATTGGTATTCGCAAGCCGGGGAAAAAACACGGAACTGTATAGGGCCTCCAATATAAGCGAGCAAAGCAAAGTGGGGTGGAGTGTATAGAAGATGTCCTTGACACCAAAGGAAAAACAAAACAAAAAAGAAACGGAGTGTATACAGCACAGTCGTACAGTCGCGTATAGAAGAATATAGATGGAGGTGGGGCACTTTTCTCGCGCATGCCCTGCTGAGCGCGGGCCGCGCAGGGGGCGAGGGGAACCGCCACGCCTTGCAACCTCATCCCCGCCGCTGCTCAACAAAGCGCCGCTGCTGCTGCGGCGGCGGCAATAAGCAAAAACAGAGAGGGGCCGGCAGCGGCCACAGCGCCATCGCCGTGGGCCGGAGGCGTGGCGTCGTTCTTGCCTGCCGCGCCAGTGCCGTTGGGCCCTGCGGGGGTGGCAGCACCGTCACCGGCCCTGTCGGCTGCGCCCCCGCCCGCTGGCAGTGTCCCGGCCGGAGGACTCACACCGCCGCCGCCGCCGTGGCTGCTCTCGGGAGGCACGCCCTCGCTGTCCTTTGCCCCCGGCGCCGCAACCCCGCCCTCCCCGGGCACAGGCTCCTGCCCGCCCTCCGGGTCCGCTGCGGGGAGCCCCTGCCCCGTCGACGGCACACCGCTGCCCGGCTCGCTGCTGCCGCCGGTGCCTCCGCCGCCACCGGCGCTGTTTTCTTCGGGAGGCGGCGCGATCGCGGGCCCAACCCCAACAGTACCAGCCACTGGCGGCGCTGACTCTGGGGCTGGCTCCGGCTCTTCCGCAGGGGCCTTTCTCTTCCACTCCTTGTCCTTGCCGTCCCATTTAAACCCCGTGAGGACGCTGCCGCCGGTGGCGGATATCGTGCACACCTCATCGTACTCGGGGCACATCACTTTGTCGGCGTCGAAGGGCGGAATCTCCCACGGAACCGTCACCCCAGACGTGCACCGCTCCCAGTCGACCCAGCCTCCCCTCTTCTTCATTTTCAGCTTCACCTCAGCGCCAAGGCACTTTACCTCCGCGTGCACGGCGGCAACGAGCTTGCCCTCTTCTTCATCCGTCGCACCTTTCACCGTGGTGGGAGCCGTGCCCAGACACCACGAGGAGGGCTGGTCGCCAGGCCTCGCCGGTTTATGCGCCCCCTTCTTAAAGACAGTGGCAAGATCCCTCACGCTTATCACGGGCTCAATGACGGGGCAGGAGTCCGGTGTCGCTCCTGGCGACGGCTCCATGATGCTCCCTGTGCACCGACCACTGAAGTACCGGTCCGAGGTGCAGCGCAGGTGGAAATCGCTTTCATTGCAGAACATTTTGGGGTAGTTCGACAAACTGAGTTGGGCGCACTTCTTCCTCAGCAGCTCGCAGCCCGAGCTCTTGCCCCACGCCATCGGCTCCGCCGCCGCCCAGTTCGCCTTGTAGAAGCCCAGGTCGACGAAGGCGCCCAGCGTCAGCTCCGTGTAGAGGCCGGCGCCCCCGAGCGGGGCCATCAGCTCGTCCTTCGCGTTGCGCTCCGACCAGTGCGACTCCAGCGCCGAGCCGTCCCCGTTGAAGTCGTACAGCTCCATGCCCCGAATGCCGTCGCAGTCGTAGTGCTCCCTCGCAGCCATCGCGGCATTCGTCGAGTTCACCACCACCGACAGCTTCCTGCCGCGCACGCCGGTCACGTTCCTCACCATGCGGTGGGCAGCCATCTGCTGGTAGGAGAAGCCGAGCGCGTGGGCGATCTCGTGCGCGGCGATGCGGGTGGCGAGGCGTCCGTGAAACAAATTTGCCGGCGCCAAGTTCACGGCGCCGACGATTGGGCGGCCGTCATCCAGCGTGGCGCACGGCAACGCCCACACCCCGCCCGGCGCAGCGGCGAAGTAGAGCACCATGTCGGCATCGTCAACGCCCGGGGTGTGATGGGCAGCAGGCACCGTGAACTGGCCGCAAACGCTGTCAGCGGCGAACGTGGGCACCTTCAGCGGCCCCTCCAGCGGCCGCACCAGCAGTCGCTCCGCGTGCAGCTTGACGGCGGC